ACACATTTTGGTAAAGCAAGGCCATGTAAAATTCAATATAAACGTCTACTAATATCATTGTGGGAAAAATCAACTACCAGTCCTTAATCACTTTAAACAAAATAGGGTGAATACAACTCATATGTTATGCTTTTCGTTTGACAAATGGAAGACTAGTCTGACGTCTGATTGATAAAAGAAGAGGGTCTGAGATAATTTCTTATGTTAAGTAATAAAATAGATAGAATGACAAAATTAATCGAGTTAGAAAATTACTTTAGTTTGCCTTTTCTGAATATACTATTTAATAAAAAATGAGCCAAAAACTAAATCGAAGTGCGTTTCTCTGTTAATTTTATTTTAATTCATACTTATTGAATTAAAATATATAACATGAAATCAATCATTCTTTATACTAGGTTGTCATGAGGTAATGCATTTACTTAATAGTGTGAGGCAGGCCAACCATACATATGACTATTCGAACATTAAATGGCCTGCAAATATTAACAGGTCTGGAAATAGTAGAGGATGGAGCAAATGGTGAATACGGAATATCATATAGTGGCGTAAGACCCTGGATATGGAAGCTAAGAAGATTATGGACCCACTGAAAAGTAACAAATCGACGAATATCCTAGATAGGGGAGGAGTGGAGGAAATTAAGTAGGAACTATCTCGGCTCGTATCAGGGACAGAAGAGAGAATCGAACACCAAGAGGAGGTGTGATTAGCCAGGAGCCTGGTTATTGCTCTAATAGCTCAATCGACTAGTGGAGAATGCATGAATACAATTCAGGAGCATACTACAGTTCATTTAGACAGGAAAAAGAATGGACTATCACATCTGCACTAAATTCACTCAGCAACAAGAATGTATGGAGAAGCATGAGGCAGCCAAACAAGGTATAAGATGCCTCATTAAGATATAATAATGAGGTTGAGTAAGAATGATTAAATAATGCTAACATTCTTAGCTTAATGTTGGGCAAGGAGTGGTTTGCATCTCAAATGATATCTCATAAGGTAGGAAAGGCTGAAGCTCAGCATGGATGGATCCGGATAAAAAAAGATGTGAAGAAATCTTCGCTTAACTCCACTTAGAAGCCTAGAATGATCTATTGATTCTAGTTAAGGCCGAATTTTCAAACGAAATAAAAAGTGCAATGATATGAAAATATCAAGGGATTCTTTAAAGTTAAACTTTTCACCATATATCAAGGCTCTTAATTTTTGAACTCTTTTAAAATAGCTTATTAGACAGAAAGACTAAATAAAAAATAAAATTACCAACCTGCTATATGACTCCAATCTAAAATCTATTGTGGTTTAATCCACACAGACATTGACGAAATTCTTTAAAATCGAAAGAGCAATAATAGCGAGACCTAAAATTTGGTAAACCCCTGACCTGTGATATAAAGCTCAGTGTGCTTTCCGTGCTGGGAGAGACCACGGATTCTATATAAAGCTATATTTAGACTCTCTAGCAAGCCTCAGAATAGGTAAGCTCCAGGCTGTGCTAAAATGTTTGAGTTAATAAATAACATATAATGTTATGATTTGTAAGTAGGGATCAGAGTAAATATAATGTCAGAATAAGTTTGTTAAAAAACTATACTTAGCTCTGGACTAAATTAGAGCTGTGTTACGGCACCGCGTTAACCTTAATGGATAACAGGAATTTCACAACTTACATAATGCCAATGAAATGAGTATA